AAATAAATAAATAAAAAGCCTTAATTATTTCAAACTTTTAACCACCAGTGTATATAAAATAATGCATGTGAATTAATAAGCAAATTATATTTTTATTAGGCCTATAATATAAATCACTTTCCTATGCACAGCACTCGAAAGCAAAAGTCTTCAGATTTACAATGCTCTAGAGTAAGATTGAGAATGATTTTTATAGATTTTTAAACATTTTCTTAGACACGTGAAATCACGGAAGAAAGCCTATATAGAGATATACATTAACTCTTAACTCAAGTCTCTGGTGTGTGCGCGTGTGTGCGTGTGTGTGTGTGTGTGTGTGCACTCGTGTGTGTGTGTGTGTGTGTGTGTGTGCGCGTGTGCGCGCGCGTGTGTGTGTGTTGCAGTCAGCTGAGACACACTAACCTGGTGCAGTTATTAGGGGTGATCGTGGAGGAACGAGGCAGTTTGTTCATCGTGACTGAATACATGGCCAAGGTCAGTGCCGTTTCTCTCAATTTTGCTGTTAAAAGTTGAATCATGAACTCATTAATGCCATAGATTGCTTATGATCTACTGTTGATGAATTGTCATAATGTTTACTGTATTGTATTTATATTGTAATATGTTGTATATTGTTGTAAGCGTGCATATTTACTATTACATTTTTTTGTGTGCAGCTGGAAGTAGTAATGCAGAAACATTTCAAAATATCTATCTATATCTGTTTTTCAACTAAATTCATATTGTATCTGATCAGCAACTTCTCATTACTGAGTGAACTGAGTAACAAGTTTTAAGTAATAAGTTTTGAATGTTGTCATGTTATTAACATGTTTTTATTTCATTTAGCCTTCTTTTATTAATGAAAAAATTGAGAAATTCTTTGAAATTTCACATGAAAACTATGATGCTCTATATACAGTGTGTATATATATATATATATATATTATGTGTGTGTGTGTGTATAAAATTCAGTATTAATGAGAAATTATATTTGCATATATCGTTGTATGAAATTTATAAAAACATAGGCTTATAATCTGAGAATTACCGGTATTAACCCTATTGGAATCAATGGAATAAAATTTTTTAAATTCCTTTGAAATTATGACTGCTCAAAATCAGTCCAAATATATTGTTAGAAAAAAATATAAGCCTATATTGTTTTCTAACAAAACATAAGTATTACTCTGAAAAGTTTTCAAAAAAAGAAATATTTAAATTTACTTGCATAAACTTTTACTTTCGGATAAAAAAAATAGATAAATTTTTCATGCTGAAGGGGTTTGTCAATAGGCATATATATTCATGTTCATCAACAAAATTCAGTCCTAAAAGTGTGTGAGATATGGGGACAATATGTTTTACAAAAGTTTTTGGCACTAATATAACTTCATAAATAATTTAACAGAAAGTGTTTTGACACTAATGGTGCTCCATACATACCCGGATCAAAATGACCCGCACACAAAATGCATAACATTTTGTCAAAATGGTTATATATCTTTAAAAAAAATGATTGGAATTTTTTTTTTTTAAATTCATGATAAGTATTCTGAGGGTCTTAAAGCATTTGTAAAGTTAATTTCTGTACTAAAAACTATGCATTTTTAACCATTTTTATATATCTATTCAAGGGCAAAAAAGACCTGAATGTGTTATGAGAGTTATTTAGCAGAAATTTAATCAGTGATGCTGAGAAATTATGTTTAATCGATACAATCTGAGACGCCTGGTTTATTTTGTGTGTGTGTGTGTGTGTCTGTGTCTGTGTGTGTGTGTGTGTGTGTGTGTGTGTGTGTTGAGCAGGGCAGTCTGGTGGATTACCTGCGCTCTCGGGGCCGGACTGTGTTGGGTGGCGAGTGTCTGCTCAAGTTTTCTCTGTGAGTAAACACATCAGTCAGTCAGCTGTGTGTCTGTCTATCAGGGTTTTGAGAAGATTTGGGAATCAAAAATCAATTCCAGAATCGGATACTTGATGTAAAATTAAAATTTCAATTCCACCTATCAATTCCTGTGTGTGCATCTTTTATTTTTAGCTGGCGAAAAAGGGACTCTTAAATATGTATTTGTCTTTGAATCATTCATTCAAGAGATTCATTCAAAAACACTGATTCGTCCAGTAATGAAACGAGTCAATCTTGAGTGAGTCATTGAATCATTCCATGCATACATTCCATGAGATTTTGTTTACTTGTCTAATATGTTTTTCTTCAGAATTGTGAGAGAACTACAACCTCCATTAAAAAAAACAGCTCTATTTTGCACACAAACAGCTCTAAATCGAGTCCAGTTTTTATGATTTTTGTTCATGGTATTCAGCAGCAATTAAATGTTTTGCAAAAAGAGACAGAATAAATATGTTTGATATCTAAATGTTTGACTTCATTTGTTTTGGAATCGAAACGAGTAAATCTCGAGTGTGTTTGTGTCCGTGTGGCAGTTACGTCTGTGAGGCTATGGAGTATCTGGAGGCCAATAACTTCGTGCACAGAGATCTGGCGGCTCGTAATGTGCTCGTGTCCGATGATAACATCGCCAAAGTCAGCGACTTCGGACTGACCAAGGAGGCCTCGTCCACTCAGGACACGGCCAAGCTGCCCGTCAAATGGACCTCGCCCGAGGCGCTGCGAGAGAAGGTACACTTCTGCGTGTTTCCAGAAAAACTCGCAGTAATATCAAAGCTCGTTTCTGGAAGCAACGTTCCTGATGGATGTAGGGTTGTGCGATATATCGTCTGCGATAATATCGTAATTGTTGTTTTAACGATGTGCGATTTGACATTATAGAGTATTTTGCAAAAACCATTCAAAACATCCCTACAGAGCGCACGCATACATTACGCGAAGTCTAGACTAGTGCGTGTGCGCATTTAGAGTGTGTTCTTTCACTGCATGATTCAGTATTAAAATGCATTTAGAATGATCACAAAATTCAAGA